AAATAAATAAAATAATGTAATAAAAAAAATAACATAACTAAAATAAACAAAATAATTAAATTGAAATAAAAAGCAAGATAAACAAAACTAAAATATTATTCTACATTTTGTGTAGAAATATATATAAGCTGAGCTCATAGAATAAACAAATATATTTTAAAATGACGCGTTTAATGATATTCATACCTTCTTCCACGTAACATATTTCATTACCGTCACTAAGAATTGCGTAATATATCTGTTGCTCTGTAGCACTATAATTAATGTAGGTCTTCGACGGCGAAACAAAGTGCGAGCAGTTTTTGGAGAACTGTTGTTGGAGAGATATATCTTTGTTTAAATTTATATATATACAGTGCGAGCAGCTTTTGGAGCACTGTTGTTGGAGAGATATATCTTTGTGTAAATTTATATCTATAAGGTGGACCGACTATCACGCCGGTAGAATTATCTGCAGATTGATTGTTTTTGGAGAACTGTTGTTGAAGAGATATATCTTTGTTTAAATTTATATATATACAGTGCGAGCAGCTTTTGACATTTTGTGTAGAAATATATATAAGCTGAGCTCATAGAATAAACAAATATATTTTAAAATGACGCGTTTAATGATATTCATACCTTCTTCCACGTAACATATTTCATTACCGTCACTAAGAATTGCGTAATATATCTGTTGCTCTGTAGCACTATAATTAATGTAGATCTTCGACGGCGAAACAAAGTGCGAGCAGTTTTTGGAGAAATGTTGTTGGAGGGATATATCTTTGTTTAAATTTTTATTTATATGGTGCCATCCGATTATCACGCCGGTAGAATTATCTGTAGATTGATCACCATGTGCCACAATCATTCCAACCGCAAATTTTACTTCTTGTGATCTTGATTTGATTTTATCATAAAAACATCTAAGCTGAAAAGTGTAAGATCATACTTTAATCGATATTACTTGTCAAGTAATTCCTAAATAAGTTTTTGTGTAGCAAGTTAAATTACAGCTAGTTAAATTAAAAATAATTATAATTTGTATGCACTTGTATGTGTTACCAGGGGAAAACCTCAGAAAGATTTTTTTCTATTATTATTATATATTATATATTAATATCATAGATTTTTTTTCTGTTATTATTATATATTATTTATTAAGCATCATACGTTATATATTAAGCATCATACTGTTAACATACCACATTTATGTCGTATACAGTGAAATCCGGAAATATTCCTACTTTTAGTTGATCTTGTATTATCTGTAATGAAAAAAAAAAGAATTAAACATGTGAACATAACTTCGATTACAAATGCGTAAATGAGAATTTGTATAACTTTAGTCTATTAAGCTTGTTTTATTAATACATATCTTTACCAAAATTACAAGTTTATTAAATAATGTTAATATTAATAGAAATTGGATATGAGTAATTGCCAACCGATGTAGCTGTACATAAACGCAAATCGCTGAACAAGACCAGGTAGTGTTGCTTGTGAAGACAATCCGAGAATTGGTTAGTTCCGCTTCTTATGCTAAAATAGCTTATATTTTCTGAACGATTCGTATTTATAGTACTGTAAACAATTACAAGTTATATGTATATATATATAT